CTCGCCTGCCCGGGGACGCCGCGCCGCCCGCCCCCTGCAGCCTGTGCTGCAGCTGCTGGCCACCGGAGGGGGCGAACAAACGTCAACCTGTTGTTTGTCCCGTCACCATTTATCAACTCTCAGCACCACAAGGAAGTGCGGCACCCACACGCGCTCAGAAAGTTCAGCATGCAGGAAGTTTGGGGAGAGCTCAGCGATTAGCACAGCGGCCCGGGCCATCTCTGGGCGAGCGCAGGCGGCGAGAGCGCGGCGTGGCGTCCGACCCGGGAGCGGATCTGGCTTTTTCGTGGAGCGACGCGGTCCCTAGGTCGCTGATCCCAATGCGCCGGCTCATCCTCATCTACACTCTAGTCTGCGCAAACTTTTGCAGCTATCGGGACGCTTCTGCAATTCCGCAGAGCGCATCCATTAAAGCTTTGCGCAACGCCAACCTCAGGCGAGATGGTAAGAGACTCAGATTTTATTATTATTTGTTTAATTAAAAAATTACATTTTTTAGTTGTCATTGTTGTTTCCTGCTTTCTAAAATGCTTTAAGTGAACTCTGGTGAATGCATTGTGGCGGGGGTGGGGGTGTCTCGTGCTCGTCCCCAGTCCTGAGAGAGCCCCTTCTTCCGGAGTGGAACGCGTGCTGGAGGGGATCGGATGGGTCAGGTGGCTCATCTCGCTGCACCCTAGAGAAGTCATTTTGGTGACCAATTGTCACTGATACCAGGATCCCGGAGTTGCAAAAAGTTGCACTCTGCGCCGCCCCTCGGTCAGGCTCTTAATCTTTTGAACTTGAAACTCTGATAGATGGGGCATTTCTCATAGGTAGAGGAACTCAAAGAGTGGCTTCCTCTGCGTGATTTATTTTTGTTTTTTTTTGGCGGGGGGGCGGGGAGGGAATGATGCGTTTCAGTCCCGCATATATGAAACAGTGAAAACTTTATTATATATTATTTATTTTGAGGAGAAGGCGGTGTGCAATATGTTGCCCTTTCCGTCCCCGAAGTGACTTTCCCTTTGGGGTGGAGCGTGGCTCAGAAACTCAGAGTCTGGGAGAATAGGGCTTCTGGGGTTTCAAGCGTACCACAGAGGACCCAGGCTTCTGCTATTCGTTTCCTTGCATAGAAGGCTTTCCAACTGTTTGCAAGAAGCAGAGCTCTTTAAACAGCTAGCCTAAGCAAGGTCCCAGCGGGCTTGTTTGTTTTTTTTTACTCTGGAGGACACCTGGGTCATTGGGTCCCAGAGACTTTAATTGAGTTGATTTACTTTCTGGGCCTCCACCAAGATCTGAAGTTGATTTATTCCTCAATTCTCCACTACAGCTGATGTTTCCAGTCATTTGCAGCTGTTTCTGCCATCTACCTGAACAGACCCATAGGTTTTTGCTTTCTTCCTTCATCAGTAATATCTTTCTCTCCCTCTGCTTGCTTCAAGTTCTAACACATCCCCTAAGGAGATCACCAAGCTATTCTTAATGACTTCACCGTTTGACCTGGCAACATTTGGCTGTTCTCTGGTAAATTCATATTAGCCATATTATTCCCTTATCAGTTTCTCTCTTGGTATGTTCTAAATTTGACTTCACTGAAAGGCTTTTGGACTTTGAAACACACAAAAAATTTATTATATTTTTTGATAAGTAGATTGTGGATTTCAGTGTGCTCAAGTCATCTGAAGTGTTGTAAGTGTGTGGAAGGGCTACAGGGAAGCCAGAGAGTCACTTCCAGGCCAGAAGACCCCCTATATTTATGCAATTACTTTATCACAGTGTTTTTATGTAAAATAGTCCAGCACTGCATTTTTAATAACCCTCCATCTTAGTTAAAGCACAAAATTTTCTTACTAAACTTAAAAAAAAAAAAAAAAGGTTTAGGCTCAAGACAAAACTTTTATAGTCTTACTTCACTCATTAATGTTAAGGGATGATCTTCTAGTTGAGTGTTTAGATTTGTTAATATTTGCACTTTAGATGCCCTTTCAGCTGCATGGAGTAAAATGCCATTTATAATTTGTATGACTTCATAGCCATAATTTTGTAATCCTTAGCCTCCCAAGTATCAGTTACAAGAAGTCAAGGACAGAAAATGAAAAGTATGTAACCATTGCCCAGTAACCCAAGATTTCAACTAAAATCAAGTCATGCAACTCATAATTTTTTTTTGGAAAAGAATAATCTCAGCTTAGTTTCCATTGTTAAAACTCTGTACATCTGTCTAGTCTATATGAGAAATGTGTTTTTTTAATCAAAATTTTGAAAACTACCCTGGATTTAATTTTTTCATATTTTAGCTAAAGCTGTTTTGCAATTACCAACAGTACATACACACACTCACACATTTTGATTAGTTCAGATTGCTCAATACTTTCCTCAATGTCAAACTCATTTTGTAAACAAGAATAGGAAGGGGGGAAAGGTAGTTAGATTAAAAAACAGTGTTATATACAGAGTAAAAAAAGTTAACACTCATAATGGGTTGTTAATGTGGGGAATTTTCAAAAGGCATCTTATTCTTAAGTGTTATAGGGCATGCGTTCTCAAAGAGAGGCAATATTGCCCCAAAGGAGCAAAATCGGATCTTAGGAGGTGAAAAAAATCTTAGATATTACAATGGTTTGTGGTCCTCCAAAGGGCCTGTACATAAAACAGATATACAGTATATCTGTAGCATTAACATTTCATAGGGAGGAGAGGTGATTAGGAAAAAAAAGTCTAAAAAGGTTCCTTAAGGGGGGATTGATGATAGTGAAAAAAAGATTGAGAAACACTGCTGTAGAGCTTTGGTGAGACAGTAAGAATAAAGGGTCTTTGAAAAAGTCTAGACGTTGTCTGGAAAATCTTAATGGCAACAGTTGAGTTGACAAGAGAAAGTAATAACTTATTAAATCAAACCCTTGTTCTGACTCCAGACGTTTTCAACTTGCTTTCCCAAAGTTCCTTAATATTAGGCTCATTAAAGAGGATAACATTCTTGCTCTTTTGACTATCAGGTTAAGACAAGGTGTAAACTTGGAGAGGACAGGGACATGGAATATAAGGGGAAAGATGGAAGATCAAAGTTTCCAAACGTTAATTTAGGGTCTTTAGAAGATCTACCCCTCAGATTGCAGATGGTCGGAAATCACAACAAAAAGTTAGACATGCCCCTTGAATAGGAGTTTTAGAAACTGTTATCTAATGGTGGGACTGTCTTCACACTTGAGTGCCATTGATTGTCCCTGTGACCCTGTTAGCTGCTACCTAATAGTGGCATCCAGAAAGGAACAAGGTGGGCAGGCATCCTGTCCTGGGCCTGAGGTGTGTTGGATCCTGTCCAGCCTGATACAAAAAAACTTATTTTCCATTTACCTGTACCTAATAGCTCCGGATAACTGGAGTAGCTAAGGAATGATATGGAAATAAAGTGTTAGGCTTGATAAATGATAGTTTTCCTCCCACCAGTGTAGGAGGCTGGTCTGCTGCTATCTCCTGGCCTTCCAGAACTCTTTATCACAATGTGTTCTTGTTCTAAAATGGATATCTACAGAGCCCTTTTCAGCACCTGCAGAATGGTTAAAGGTGATCCAGTGGAGGAGGGTGGTTGAATTTGGTCCCTGTCTCTAGGAGGAAATTAGGTTTTATAGCTAAGAAGAATTAAAATATTAATAGTTTGCAGTACTTAATTGGATATTTATGCTTCCTTGTGTCATATTTATTATTCTTTCTCAAACTGGTTTACTTTTGATACCCATTCTTGATCCATCTCTTGGCACAGAGAAAATCTTAACTCATTAATAGCATCCACATGTTCTTGTTTTAGTGCCTGTATAATTGGTGCTTTGTAACAGCTGGCCACAACTGGTGTTGCTCAGAGTGTGGATCAAGAAGTGTCAAGGTAGCAATTAACTGACAGTATTACTTACTTATTTTTAAATCTAACTAGACAGAACTTCCTGCTTAGGAGGTTAGGAATACAGATGCACTCTTTGTTTTCTTGACTTTTTGTTGCTTTCAGAAAGTACTGGTGTTGGTGGTAATGATTCCAAATTTAGTTCTGTTTGGTTGTTTAATATACCAGTACTTGAACTGTCTATTACATGATCATTATCTAGTGATAGGCCTGCAATTTTAAAATTGTGGTCTTAGATTTTTAAATAGTCAAGCTTGTTTCTTAAATAACATGGGTCTCTATTGTCATCATTGATGATGGCACATTGACTTTGGTGCAAAGATCAAAGCTTAAAGGGAAGGCAACAAAATAGAGGACAATATGAACAAATTATTTTTAAAGTGTCTGAAAGCTAAGAATCAGATTAGTGTCTAAATCTTATGTACTTCTGTGTTTATATTTTTGGTTCAACTCTAAGGGTATTAAAGCCTCATAGTCTAATAGAGCATAGTGGTGATTACGTGTTTTAAATGCAACATGACTTTGACTTGCTGCCATTGGTTATAGTATTTTATAGAGGTTCTTTTAAAGAGATGAGTTTAGGGGCTGGCCCTGTGGCCAAGTGGCCTTGTGGGTTCAAATCCCAGGCGCAGACCTACACCACTCCTCATCAAGGCATGCTGTGGCAGTAACCCACATATAAAGTAGAGGAAGATTGGCACAAATGTTAGCTCAGGGCACATCTTCCTCAGCAAAAAGAATAAAAAGAGGCGAGTTTAGCCAGGTATCTGTATACTCTGTAGTAGAAGATGCCACTAGGTTGCAAGTTACAGTAATGACCATTGTGTGTTCGTTGAGTTTTGTCTACAGGATTTTCCCTTTCAGCAAATGAAAGCAAAACTTATTGTTTCAGAACAATTAGGTCAAACAATGGAACAATGTCCCCAGAGTCACGGATCTCTAATCACCAGTGATAAGCATGCTGTCACACGGGACTCTTGAGTATATGTGGTCTCAGAACTCCATCATTCTAAGAGTTTGGAAGGATATGCGTGTTTATGTCTCTGTCCTTGGGATCTGAGTCATAAAGCAAATCATCTTCCTTCTGGAACTTACTCTTGAACTTTCTTTGCTGAAATGATCTGACTAGCTTAAAAAGGAACTTCCTGAACGTCTTAATAAAATTCTTCCTCTTATTAAAATAGGAACATCTTTTAAGCAAACCAGGCATAGGATATTTCTAATTCATCTGTGCCATGTCATTTCAGTAATGCATTTGTCTTTCACCAAGGGTCAAGATGGCTTTAGGGTGGAAGTGAGTTAGTGTCTGAGCTACCTGGCCTCTTTTAAGTTTATTTCTTTTCAGGTCATTCTTTACTTGATCTGGACTGTCTTCTAAAGATGAAAGGATGAAAACTAATGTACAAATAGTTCTTTATCCTGAGCTCTGCTGCTGACCTCCACTGTCACTATTATTCATTTATTCAACAATTATTTATTGCATCTCTAATATCTGCCAGTTTCTGTGCTAGATGCTCAGTTATCTAGCACATTATGAATGAAACATACATGGTTCCTGCCTTTTTGGAGC